CTAATCTGGAATCAGAATCTCCCAACGAGCTCAAAACCAGATTTCACAGTTGTGCCCCAGTTCCAAACCTGGGATCCAGTAAGCGCCTGCCACAGCGCTAGGATGGCGTGACTTCGGAGCTTCTTTCCTTCTAAAACAGTCATCCTCCCTTTAAAAAAAAATGCATTTACTCCTTTTCCCTTTTTTAAAGAGTCAAAGTCAGCAGCTATCCTCTAGCATGCTACCTATGTTACTGGGTATCCTGATGACCTCTTCGTGAATGTTCTAGAATGTGTAACCCCATCGCTAGAATTACCTAAAATTACACAGGAAGCTAAGCAAGAAATTTGATGACGAGATTTAGGTTAAATATTTAGGGAAAGGTTAATTATATTTTGTAAACTGATAAATAAAGGATATATGCATTTATTTGGTATTAAGTTATATGATAAATGTGCACATTACATAATTTTCAAATCAAGGCAAACACACCTATTTCCTATCTTCTCCAGTACTTGTCATTTCTTTGTGGTGAAAATATTCCAAATCCTTTCTCCTAGCTTTAAAAACCATGTGCAGCGTCTTTAAGTAAAGATGTCAGATGAGAGAGTTTGGGGGGAAGAGGAGAGTGAGCGAGCGCTTGGGTGAGCCCTCTTTCTGTTCCTTGTCTGTACTAATCACTGTGTTGTTAGCTGCCATTTCACCCATCAGCTTCCTTTCTCTTTTGTCTAATTTCCCAGTTTTTGTGAGGGTGGGTGTGAGAAGGGTACCATTGGCTTCCACAGCGGGTGTCTGTCGAGTATTGGAAACAATCAGACATCAGAATGAAGTCCAGATAAGTCCCAGAGAAGGCCCATGTTTTCCTGCGAACCTCAATGATATATTTGGGGATCAGATTTCTGTACCATGACAGAAGTTGCTAAACTTTCAGAATCTATGAATAGCATAGATGACACAATGTTCATACTCAGGTACGATTGATAATGCTAATACTATAGAATTACCAATATAATATTGACAACAGCAAATACTATTTGTAAAATAAGTATGGATGAAAGTTAATTCTTAAGCTGGCAGATTTAGGAAGCAAAAAAAGGAAACTTTTTGAAATTGTGTATGTGATAGCAGTCTTTGCTCCCAGAAAACTTGTGCTATTAATGAATCAGGACTTACTGTTAGTGTCAGCGGCATACTTGTACTAAGTACTTGTTCACATACAGCTTAGTTCTCCCACCTGTGTGCACTTAAATTTCCAGAGGAGGAAAAAGTTAGGTCTGGAGCTAGAGCAAAGCAGTTGCATCTGCTATTCACAAATCAAAAATTAAAGTGAGAAGGCATTGCTAAATGGCATGAGAATTCATAGTAATTTTAAAAAATCCTTGATATCAAAAAATAAACCAATCATTCAGACCTACTTGAGAACCAAAGGCATGATCTTACCCGGTGCTAACAGTGTCCATCTGTTGAGCTGGCTGCCGCACCACCGCAGTCTGGAGGTAACGTGGCCAAGGCCTCCGTGCAGAACATTAAAGCACCATTTACATTTCCCACTGCTCTTCTGCGGTCATCCCCTTCAACTGCATGACAAAAATGCACAGTTACTGAAATGCCAGAGGGAACATGTTCTGGTTACAAAACACCGTGGGGAGCAACCAGAGAGGACCCACACATCCATCATAAGGAGGGCCCCTCACTTACCAGGCCAAAGCCCCCCAACCCCCTATCATCCCTTTAGAGATGAAGAACATGCATTATCATGACTCCAACTGGTCGGCGATGTGACTGCTGTCCCTAATCTTGGGACAGACTGAGACAATGAGACCCATTATTTCAATCAACATTCACTGGGGAACTAATATGTGCTGACACCTGCATGGTGACCCCTCCTGGCTTCCCCAGGACTTTGCTACTTCAGCATCACAAATCCGGGACACTTGAACACTTTGAGTCACCGGTACACTTGAGTGCTGGATCTTTCAACCCGCACGAAGCACTCAGGATGAAAACAAGACCCAGCCTTACCCCTGCCATCTAGAAACACACTGCCCGCGACCCTTGGAAAGGTGAAGCTCACACAGATCGGTTCTTATAATTAAGAGAAGCACACTGTGCAAGGCAGGAGGGTGGCTATGGAGCTCCAGAGGGGAGAGACCACACCTGGCAGAAGACAACCCTTGACTGTGACTTCAAAGACAAAGCAAACAGCACAGCACTCTCCGTTCAGTTTTGCAAATATTAACGCAGGTGATACCTGCGGGACATTATACTGTTGTATGCTTTCTCTGAATCACAGAATGTGTGCATTTGGCTTAGATTCCCACAGCATGACGGTAGGACTTGAGAATGAAGTAAGCTTCCTCATTGTGCTTTCCTATGGGACAGCAGGAGCCTGCCAGTACCACAGGTCTAATGATGGTGAGCGTGTTCAGAACTATTTATAAATATGGAATGCACATTTCTCTCGCTGGAGTTTGAGCTGAAAAGAGTGCAAATGACTGGCCTGTGGCTGTCAGCCTGATTCGGAGGCTGCGGACATGATACATGACAAACTAAAGATGAGTGAGCAGGCACTGGACCCAGTAGTTAGGATGCCAGGGACAGTGCCCACCTCCCACTTCTGAGTGCCTGCGTTCAGCTGCTGGACCCTGCCAATGCAGACCTGGGAGGCAGGCGTGATGGCCCAAGTGACTGGGTGCTGGGCACCCACGTCGGGAACTGGGTGGTGACTTCTGTCCTGCACTTTCCTATGGCCATGTGGCACCTGGAGGAATAGGACATTCTCCTCTCTCACTCGCTGTCTTGGCCACTACATTTTTTAATTAATATGAGGGATTTTTTCCATGTTTTATTTAGAAAAAAATGAAATTCACTGTAAACTGTATTTTTTTATCACAGGTATTTTAACTAGATATGTAATGATCAAAAATCTGCTTCCTTTGCACTCTGACTGTATGAATATTTGTAGTTTACCTTTGTTTGTTATATTGAGCCAGTATAGATCCTTAGGTCCTAACCACCTCAATATGGATCTCCTAGCAACATGGCCTTCCACACTGCCACAGTATAACCTCGTGCTCAGGAAATGAACACTGACATTATCCTATCAGTGTCCAATAGAGGGAGAGTAGACAAACTGCCCACTGTCTCAACAATACCTTTGCAGAAACCATTTCCTTGGTTTGGCATCCAACTCAGAGCCACATGCTGCATTTGGGTATTGCATCTCCTGATCTTCACCAGGGAGTCTCCTCAGTCTCTCCTTTCATGACTGCCACTTGTAGAATGGCCCCGAGTTGGATTTTGTCTGATGTGCCATCAGGACCAGAGGTGGGCTGTGAGTTTCCAGCTGCCTGAGCACTATATCTATCAAGAGGCCCACAAGACTACTTTGTGCATGACTTACCTGAAGAAGGGGGAAGTGTGGCAAGTTCCTGCCTGTAACATGCCCACATCCCGGGGCAGTTAGTAGTGATCCTAGGAGCTGCTCAGACAGCCTAGTCCCTGCCAGTGCTTTGAGCTGTTGTCTTAGTTTCCTAGGAATGCTGTGATAAAAGACTACATACATGCTAGCTAACATATATGCCAAAATAAGGCATCATCTCATTCGTCAGGGGACCGGAGTGTGAGCTCACACTGCCAGCAGGACGGGTTCCTCCCAAGGGCTGTGAGGGAGGGGTCTGGTCCAGACCTTCTCCTGAGCTTGTGGAGGACCGTCTTCTTCCTGGGTCTCTTCTCGTCAGCTTTCTTCTGTGTTCGTCTCTGGGTCCTGATTGCCCCTTTTGCAAGGATGCCAGCTGAATTGTTAGGGCACACTCACTGAGCTCACTTTCGCAGCCTTACTTCTGGCAAGAACCAATCTCAAAATAAGGCTACACTTTCTAAAAGATTTATTTATATTTATTGGAAAGTCAGATACACAGGAGGAGAGACAGAGAGAAATCTCTTCCATCCAATGATTCACACCCCACACTGCCTCCAAGGCCAGAGATGAGCCAATCCAAAGCCAGGAGCCAGGAGTCTCTTCCAGGTCTCCCACATGGGTGCAGGGTCCCAAGGCTTTGGGTCATCCTAGACTGCTTTCCTATGCCACAAGCAGAGAGTCTTTTGGGAAGTGGAGCCACCAGGATTAGAATCGATGTCCATATGGGATCCTGGGGTGTTCAAGGTGAGGACTTTAGCCACTAGGCCACCACACCATGCCCAAGGTTACATTTTTAACTACATGGAATTTGGATTTTCATATATGGATTTGGAGAGACACCATTGAACCCCAGAACACATGCATCAAATCTACCCACAGGCTCCTCATTGTTCGCATTGGGAAACAAAATGGGAAATTGGGCTGTGACTGCATGAGCCACGTGGTGCTAGAATCTTCTCGCTACCCTTTTCGCCAAATACAGAGTCATTGGCAGGCCTGAAAAGACAGAAGGTGCTGGGACTCATCTCCACTGGGCTCAGTAGAGGACTCTTCCCCCTACTCAGGATGATCTTTCCTCTTTGATGCCAGAGGATGCTCAGTGGATTTGGTTTCCCGCCCAGGTGCCTGCTATGGAAGTCTGTGCAGAATCCTAGAGCACATACTTCAGGATTACAGAAGCTGAGTCAGTAGAAACATTCAAATCTTGCAGGCAGTCCTGGGGAAAGTGCATTGTTTTGTTGCATCGATCTGATACCCAGACAGATGAATTTAGAGTACATGCATAGGATATTAGCAGCAGGGACTCTCCGCAGAAGTAGGACCCAAAGCCAAGTGAGATGCTCTCAACATGTTTAATTCAAAGCATGGCAGGTGAGAAAAAGATGGAAAACATAGAGCCAATTACCAGGAGACTGCTCCTGAGGTCAAAGGAAGACTAAGAGAGGGGAGCCGTGGGAATGGAGATGCAGACCCTGCCACACAGCATGCCTTTCAAGGGGAGTAGGGGACCCCGCATTCCTCACATCACAGCTTTTGCAAACATCAGTTGTACCACACCCCTGGGACGATGCTCACTCAATTTCCTTGCTTTTTTGATCAGGTCACAGACATAAAAGAGAAATTGAAGCTCTCTAAAAAAGTCTGGTCGGCGTTAGCCTACGCTATCTGCAAAGACGAGGGTGTCACCGTGGGCACATCCAATGAAGAGGAATGTTGGAATGGGCACAGCAAAGCCAGGTGAGGGGGATTGCAGGCCCGGCTGTGCCTCAGCATGGCCAGCCTTGGAAGGCTGTGCTGGCACAATGCTGCAGATCGGTTTATGCAAAAAGCAACAGAGGGTGGAGGGATACGTCGCCCCTTAGCAACAGCTGTTGAGAGTGACAGGTTTGATGGGCTCCTGGGAGCACTTCTTCTCAAGGTGCCATTAAGCGTGGAATCCTTGCTCTAAATGTCTTGCCACTGGAAGAGGATGGAGGCACAGACACAGATGCCAGGTTACAGACACCCTGAGATCACAGAGAGCCCTTTTATGTTCACGTAATGACTTAAAGATAGCAGAACTATTTTTAGCCATAGTTAAATTTGCAGAGCTGTATTTCTTTAATCCTAAGTTAAACAGAAAATGACAAATCACCATTGGAGAAAAAAAAAAGCTACCAAGTTCCTTGGAGAGGTGGAAAAGAATAGCTGCAGGTCAACCAGGAAAGCCCCCATGCCTCAGGAAGTCCCAAGGAACCTCCTGATGAAGAGAGGGCTCGCTGACCAATGCTGCAGTCATCTAAAATGGACTTTCTTGAATCAGTTGATTCAGCTCCAAAACAGACTTGGCTCAAGTTTCACAGGGTGGAGAAGTTGATCAGGGGAACTGTCTGGGAGCTGGCAAGTAGGGTAGAATATGAGGAGAAGAATCTGCTGGAGTCTTCATCCGGCAGGCTGCAGATGGGTGAAGCAGCTGGCCAACTGAACTCAAGGAATCTTAGGGGATTGACTAGCAGGTGGGGAAGCTCAGAGGGGAGTCTTTTCTGGGGTCTTTCTGGGGTGGTTTCAAGCATAAGAAGCCAGAAGGTACTGGAAGGTGCAGTTCAGAAGAAACTGCTGCAGGTAAGCAGGAAATGTAAGTGGGTCCATGGTGCATGATATTTCTTGCTGCTGACTCGCATTTCTATCCACTGATATTAATATCAGTAACCAAACCAGGAAAATCTCCCACAAGGCAAAAGCTACGAAAAGAGCCATTAGCCAGTTTAACATGTCCAAAATACAATATCAAAATTTTAAATCCTAAGTGTACAGAAGGACATTCCCATTATTAAGAAGCTACTGAAAACTACCTCATATGGCATCTTTAAGTGTGTAGGAATAATTGTGAAATGATGAAAACGAAGGTTTATTCTTATCACCTATGTGAAATAGAAGAACCAGAACCTTTATTTTAAAAACCTATCAACAAGTGTCAATGGATACAGAAAAGAAACAAGCATGACCTCTGATATTGGCCCACTGTGGAGTTTAAAGCTCAGCGTGCACATGGAAGTCTCATACCCCAGCCTTTCTTCCTCTGTTTTATCCATCAGATAAACACAGTTTTGGCTCCATCCACTCCTGCAGTCCTTTTGTCTTAGCATTTCCCAAACTTATCTTCCATCACCCGGCTGTTCTCACTACTTTCTGCATCCATCTCCAAACCGCTGTACTGAAATTCCGTGATTCAGAAACATTACTACTTCAAATTTCTACAAGTCAAAAATAGAAAATGGCTATGCCTGTTTACTGTGGTGATTATCTTAATTTTCCAAAAAGCTTCTATTAAACTAATAGTGCCTGTTGAAACAGATGGTGACTTGCAATGGCAAGTTTCATCTGTCGTGTTGCAACCATGCTCAAGGCTGCGTGAAGAGTGACTGGGCTGGGATATGAACGCACTGTCGACCTCTTGCCACTCTCAGCTGCACTTCTGAAAGTTCCCATTGCCTTTTTGACTAAACAGGCTAAAAATGGGAAGCACAGATGTGCATTGTGACCCTATCAGTATTTCAACCTTCATCCTGACAATAAGACAGAGGGTCAAGAGGACATCTTCCTTGCATCCCCTTGACCTTGCCAACTTCCTGAGACAGGGTGAAGATCCAGGCACTGATGTCCATGCAGGCTGTCATTTCTAAGGTTTGCTTTGCAAACTTGGAGGGTGCAGACTACCCTGTTGGAAATATTGCTTGAAGTGCCAATTCTGATTCAGCAGGTGTTGCAGAATGAACTGTGCGCCTTCTCAATGGGTGAGGGGTATCCTAACTCCTAATGTGAAGGTCATGTGAGGTTCATACTTCAAGAGGCATTTACTCTGTGTGGGTGGAGTCCCCTGAACGGGATCTGTGCCTCTTGAAGAACAGACAGGAGAGACAGAGCTGGTGATGACAGTAGGTCTTCAGGGGGAGCTGAAGAGGAGTCTATGCATCCAACATGCTTCCAAGTAATGAGTTATTCCTAGTCCAGGGAACACCCTTGGAGAAGCAAGACTCTAAGGTATGATTGCCATGTTGAGCCTCTCAAAATACCAAACAACAAAAAGAACACACCTCACAGACACACACACACAGTGACTCCTTGTTTAAAGCCAAACTTGCAGCAGTCCTGTATTTTTTCTGGGAACCCTCCATTCAGCCTCTATTTAAGATGTTCCTTTTCAGTCTACACACAGACCACAGGGAACAAGTTAAGTTGTTGACTGTGCTTTCACAGATGCCTTCGCCATTTCCTTTCATGGGCTTTGCTCATATCATCAACAAGAACAATTCAGGCAGAGAGAGTATCCCATTTGGTTGAAAGAGCATGCAATAAGAACAACCAGCACGCAGACAAGGTAGCAGTCCTAAGCCTCCTCATGCAGCAAGAAAGGCAACACAGCTTTAAATGCAACACAGCTTTCATCACGTAGGAAATCAACTACACAAACTTCCAGTTTCACTGCAATGAATGATAAAGCTCAACACTTTGAACACTGCGTGTGTTTTGTATCCAATCAATGTATTCATCAGTTCTGGATGCTATGATAAAAATACAAAAGATGCCATGGTTAAAACAGCATAAATATATTCCTCACAATTCCACAGGTTGGGAAGTTCACAATTAGGGTGCAGGCAGCACTACACCTTCTTTTTAACTTTTAGACAGCTGCATCCTGTCATAGTAGAGAGACAGGATATTCTGGTCTCTCCTTCTAAGGGCATGAATCCTATCACAGAATTCCACCCTCATGACCTCCTCCAACCTTAACTACTTCCAGATGCCATCACACTGCAGACAAAGGCTTCTGCACAGATTTGGGAGACATTCAGTACTGAGCAACCACATCCTATTTTCCAGCAGAGTGAAGAAGGGTGTTCTCACCAAAGTCCATGCTTGTCTGTCACCTGACAGAAGCAGCCTGGTGGACCAGAAAGAGAGTGGGGTGTAAAATATGGCTCTCCTGCCTCCATTTCCCCCTTTACCTAAGCAGCAGGCAGGTAAGACATGTAGCAACTCCAACTCAAACAGGAACTGAAACAAAGGCAAATCGATAACAATCCAGAAGGTCAAAGGGAAGAAAATGGAAAAGTCACGGCAGGCTACAAATGGAGGCCTCCTAAAATTCCCAGAGTGAACCCTGAGGCCCCGGAAGACACCTGCTCCATCAGTCATCCTCTGAAGAACGCTGTAGGCAGCTGCTGGCCGGAGCAGGTGAAGAATGATGAGATGCACAGCAGGAAAGTTGGGCTTCAGAGGAAGCGCAGCTTTTGCCCGGCTGACATCTACAGGTTAGAACTGGCTAGAACTCTGTCATGCAGCAAAAGAAGACAAAGCAGGTGTCTGCAAGGGCTGTTATCTTTCCGCTCATGTAGACTGGTGCTGGCTTCCTGCCGGCTCTGTTGAATGACAATGTCCATCACTTGTTTTAGGATGATTTCCCTTCCTAAGGACCTTGTCTCTAATGCAGATGACAGTCAATGGCTGGGTTCCAGTGGTACACAGGCCATCTGATAGGACATCGATCATTTCAGCTGTTGTGGCTCGGGTCAGTCATTTCCAGACCCCTCTCCACCCTCAAAGACTGGCAAACAACTTTCAGATTTTGCTCCTGGTGAGCAAGGCTCTAGCTGTCACCCTCCCTCCTTTGACAATGCCCTCTGGGAAAAGGAGAGCAAGGAGCTGTGTGATTAATAAGACCTACTGGAGACATGGCTTCTGCCAGGAGCCTCTGCTGTTTCTCAAGGCGCCCGAGCCTCACAGAAATATTCTGTCCCCAAGGAGATCCTTCCCGAGGCCGGAAGGTAAACACAGTAAATTGCAAGCAGCAGGAAAAATGGAGAAATAGATCAGCTGTTCTTAGCAGCCTCCATGTGGATCGAGGAGCAAGTCAAGAGCGGATCAGTCTGAGCAAATAGCAGAGGGAGAAATGAGGTTCTGCAATGAGAACTGTGTCAAAGAGGGCTTCTCAGCAGCCCTGGCAGAACACCACTGCTTTAGTCTGACTGCCAAACGTGTCCCATGGCACTCTAGCCATAAAACAGGCAACCAGGAAAACAGCCTTGGAAGGTGGCGCTTGGAAGAACTGACTGGCACATTTGGGGATGGCTGGCTGCATGGTCATCCTGACTGTCCTGGGGCAGACAAAGCACACAAAGTACTTGCCAGGGATAAATCGCGGCAGCAATAGATTCCAGCAGGAGGAAGCAAACACACTGCTGCTCCACAACTCACCCGCCCCGGCCCGTGGCTCACAGGCCCTCGCCTATCCGCTCAGCCACGGGCCGCCTCTAATTCCAAGGAGAGAAGGTGGGCATAGGAAGCGCCTGCCAGTGTGCTCGGGGCCGAGGCAGGGAACTGATCCTCTGCTCACGGCTATCATCAGCGAGGCATGCGTTGTGCAAAGGAGTTCCCAAACTGTTTCCTGCCTCACACTCCCTTCTCAGCACCAGGAGTCAGGCTTTCGGCTCCAAATTTAGCTACTGTCAGCCAGGCTAAGAACAAGCTTGGCATTTGGGACAGCTATACTAACAACCTAATTTTCCTAAAAACTGCACAATGAAGAGGGCTAGAAAGTAGCTAAGTGACCTGCCATGGTCAACACAGGCCCCAAGAAGATTTTAGGTGTCCCAGGGCACACCCCTGTGTCCCATCTCCAAGTGTGCACCCAGGCCACAGACAGCCCTGCTTAATGGACCATACAGTCACAGTATGTTTGTAGCAACAATATTTTTTCA